GAAACAACATAGAGTAGGTAAGTTAGAACTTTAAACAACATGTGTATGTACTTAGTGTACATGTATTTATAGCTACATTTCAGACCCTTCCCATGTTGCTAACTAATGAATAGCTTGTACCACAGAACGTTGTTCTGTATCAACCACCTAACTGAGCACAAGGATATTGTTGAACTAGACAGAGTTTTGCCGGTGTTAGAAAAATCAGGACCACACATGGAACACATGGCATCTTGGGGTCCTGTAAGCTTGGCAAGGGCACCCACATGGATCTTAGCCTCCTGTTTCCCTTGAAATAACCCACACAATCATCTCCAAGAGGACAACCTAAAAGAACTCTCCTCTCTCACCTTTCCACTCCAGCACTCAAACTTCTGACCATGCAAATTCTATCTTGTGGCTTCTGACCTTTGGTATGACATATTTTCCTGGAGGATTCTAAATAACTGTGGCTACTCAGCTAACTGAATCTTCAACCTAATTACTAAAAACAATAACCAAGCCGGGCGGTGGTGGCGCACGCCTTTAATCCCAGCACTCGGGAGGCAGAGCCAGGCGGATCTCTGTGAGTTCGAGGCCAGCCTGGACTACCAAGTGAGTTCCAGGAAAGGCGCAAAGCTACACAGAGAAACCCTGTCTCGAAAAACCAAAAAAAAAAAACAAAAAAAAACAATAACCAGAAATGAGATAGCAATTCTTAAAAATAAAATAAAAAGAAACAAGATTTACAGAGAGTATATTTACATGTAGAAAAATGAGCAACATTAATAAGGAAAAGTGCTCATTTGAGTTGAAATTTAAAAAGAAAGAAGGAATATATTCTGGTATAATGTGTACTTCTTCCTACAAAGGAGCTTGGGAAATACTTCCTGAGTGTCAGAGTACAAGAAGCTGAAGGTCAGGCGAACTGGAACAGAAACATGCTTTGCATGTATCTATTTTTCTAATCTGCATTGTTCCGTTTCAGAGAAAAAGGAAATAGATCATCTGAGAGGTAAATTAACACACCCAAGGTCACACAGCTAATAAAAGCTTCAACTGAAGTGTGTGTTATTCTAGTTTCAGAACCCTGAGCTATCTGAATATACTCTGACTGCTCCCGGGAGCTCTGGGAAACCCCTGAGCAATAGCACAAAGTGCCTTCAGTGTGCATGTGACCTCAGTGAGGGTTGCAGCCTGACCGTTGTGGTTTTGTCTGATCCCACTATGGCTACTAACCTATATATCATAGCTATAGAATCTATAAAAGACATAGAATTACAGAGATGATGAAAATTTGAAAAAGGATACGCATGGCTCTAGTAGATGAAGCAGACAGACAATTCAAACAAAAATCGGTAGTTCAAGAAGAAATGTGAGTCCTTGTAGGAGACAAGGATGAACAGTTACATTGACAGTGAGGACGTTCAAGAATAAGCAAGAGCCGTTGAGTACGGAAATTTGGCTTCACTAATAGAGTTCAGGGCCCAATTATACACAGGATAATTATAAATAAACCAGCCAATGCTACACTTCCCATAGCCTCAGATGTATCATTATTAATCATCTTTAGTCAGGTTTATCTTTCAAAAAAAAAAAAAAAACTTCTTTTTTCACCACTTTGAGATTTTAAAACTCCGGGACTATTATCAAAAATTTAGAATGCAATGGTTCATTCCTGAATTTGAGGTCATCTAGAATCTAGCCGCATACACACATAGCCCCATAATAAACTTTTCTTTCTACTTACGTTACTGTATCTACAATCGAAAGAGGCTAAGCTAACCGGTTAACTTCCCTCCCTCCCATTTGCTCAATCACGTACATCTGTTTAGCTATGATGCTTATTCTTTTTCCACTTCTCCCAAGTCTTCTACCTCTACCCATGGACATCTTTTACCAAATTCACAGTCATACTGAAGAGTTCACTGGTGCACACTACAAACATGCAAGCTAGAATGGCCAAGTAGCAGAGTCCTTCCTCTGCATCTCTACTGGGTCAATCTTCAGCAGCTTCCACAAAACAAGAGGTGCAGGGGACGAGTGCAGTGCACTCCATTCTATTACTTTCTCCACATTGATGCTGCCTGCTCTGCTTCACTTCGGTCATTAATAGCACTCTTGTTAACAAGCATAACAACATCTTTAAATTCCTTTCTCTCTTACTCTCTTTCTGGCTTTAAGACCAAAATGATTACTCATTCATTAAAAAAAAAAGTATACTTCCAAATCTTGATTGTTTAAAACTGTACAAGTCTTTTACAATACAATATTTTGGCTATTAAATGATCTCTAAATGTTAGTGCACAACGGATAGCTTTTCCTGAAACTCAATCATGAATTATGAATTCATCAATAATAAGCATGTTCTTTGGTGCTTATGATGCAGTATTATTCTGATTTTTGTCTAGTGGACTTCTTTTTCAGTCTTACTGAGATGTGTATGTATGTGGCCATCATCTTAGCTTTTTTGTGTGTCTTTTCAGTTCACACTCTGTCCCAAGACATCTCATTATATTTTTTTTTTACTTTTCTTAAGTCTTTATGAAAATACCCAACTTTGTTTTCAAGGCAAATCTCTCAGGTAAAATTGTTTCCATTCTTTCTCTCTAAAGATACATCCAAAGATGACATGGGGGCCAATCTTAACTCTCTAACCTTTTCTTCCAAGATCTCTCTCTTTTTCATCCTAGACAACCCACTTCTGTTCTTCAGCTAGCCATTACTTCCTAACCTTTGCCTAAGCAATCCCTCTTCCATTCAACACTTCTCAGCATATCCCATTGATTCCCGCTCAGATGGTACATTACCAGTATGGCTTCACTGACCATTCTCAAGTCTGACTCAGTTCTCCTCCTGCAGATATACACAGCCTCTCTAACAAAATCCCACAACATTTTTTTTCATGGCTTGCCCATAAAGATAGGAAGAGAAGAATGGGGTCTCTGGAGATCATTCACTAACATTGAGCTTGACAGAGGACAGGAGCTCAGATGACACTTGGAATGAGTTGATAAAGTCATAAAAGCTCACAACTGATCCTCAGCAATTCACTTCACATAACTACCTATGTATAACTACCAAACTATTTCAGGATTCTGTATAAAACATGTATTCAATTATCCCTAGCATGTTTTTTAGTTGTTTTTTTTTTTTTCTCAAAGTCCGGAGTTACAAACCAACTGTGACATATGTTGCTATATATACACTCAGCCTAGACTGAGTCAACTCTGCCAGAATTTCAAAGTTACAATGTCCAAAATGTCTAAGTTTATGTAAAAACTACTCTTCTCAGAATTCATTCTTAAGGAGTTTTATTTGGATGTTTATGCTATTTTATTTGACTAATTACAAAGAGGCAATTTTTCCTTCATATATTTAAGGAGCATTCTAAAAATAAGAATTGTCCCAAAAAGGAAACCTTAAAAGTTGAGGAATTCATTGTCATTGGGTTCTAATTAAAATACATCTTTCAGAGAACTTTCTTTTTAAAAAACCCTATTATTAATGAATTGGTGGGTAAGAGGAATTCCAAAGTCACAGAGAAATCTAATCACCTATATTCTTATGAAATATGTATGAGGTGAGTCATTTTATTCCTTTTTCCTCTGTGACCCACAGTGACTTCTGTTAACTTTAAGAACTCATCCTTTTTTGGAGATTTATAATTTTATATGTTCTTTGAAAATTGACTCATCAGACAGTCATTTTATATGACTAAATTATATACCTATACGCTTTTGTTTTTAGAAAAATGAGCAGGCATATCTGTTGGATTTGTAAGCTATGCAGAGCTGAATCTAAGAGGCTCCCCTCAAAGTAAGTAGCTTTTGAATATCATAACCATTTTAAAGCATTTTTAGTCTCATGATAAATAGGTACATACATATTTAACTGTGTTCTAAATATATTTTGCTGAGAAAGTAAAATTTATATTTACACATGAGAAACTCCAGCAGAGGAGCAGTCATGTATCACACTAAAATTCATTTCCATTATTCATGGTGTACACTTAAGAATTCAGCAACTTTGATGTTTTAGAGACTATTAAAAACATTCTTTTTAAGAACAGTTTAGTGCTGTTTATATTAAAGGGATTTTTTAATCCAATATATTTCACAACTAACACCTTCTTAAGAGATGCCAGAAACCTTCATTTCTTCATAGGGTTTACAAGAATGGAAGCCTACCAAGTTTCCAGTGTTTTTCTAAATGCAGGGAAATTTGCTGCTTCCTTGCTTTTTACAGGGTCTGGCTATGCAGGCCAGGCCACCCCCAAACTTGTGATCATACTGCCTGAGCCTCCCAAGCACTGGGATAAGTTATATTATAAAGATCCAGCCTTTTTCTGAGATCTGCAAATAGTTTAAAATAGAAAGTATGACTGAAAGAATAATAAAACAATTAGATTTATCACAAAGAATTCACAGATTGAAGCCCCCTGTTAGATTAACCATACATGCCTAACCTAGGTCAAGTGGAGGCCTCAATTCTGACACATCCTTGTAGGTCAGAGTTCTTGACCAGCCTGACCTCCCACTGAAGTAGAGAAGGTCTCAAAATGTCACAAGCTACTGCTTGGTCAAGAAAGTTAGCTGTAGTGATGGGTGTCAAAAACCCAACGCTCAGCATTCTAGTGACTAGTTCAACTTTGTGAACTATGGAGGTGCACCCATGGACGAAGATATAATAGACTGACTGGGACCAGCTTTCTTTTATGGATGATCCCTATGGCCTATCACAATCAGAACTTGGATTTTCTGTTGTCTGTCTTGTATATCCTCCATAGAAAGGAGGAACTCAGGAAAAGAAAATTCATATTCATAAAAGGCTGTTTAAGGTCATTTGATAGGAGCTTTGCATTCATTATAACTTTGTCAGATAGAGAGATAATAACAAAACTAAGGTGTGGAGATGTATTAAATCCAACATTGGGATTGGATCCCCCAACCCTCAGACTCTAAGCATCAATGCCATGGGCTTCAAAATGTCTTCGTGTCTGATTGCTTTTTGCCACCTACCTGTCCAGAAAAAAAGAAAGTGACACCAAAAAGAAGAACGCAGGCCAGGAAACTCAGGCTGATCTGGGGGCAAAGGTGCTTAAAAATAATCTTCACATAACTCTGAGTATACCATCTTCACAGTCATGGGCCAACGTGAATACTGTGAGAGAGAACATAAGCAAAAGCAGAAATGAAGTTCAAATAACCCAATATCTCCAACCATGGTCTGTATCTGTAAATCTCATAAATCTTACAGGCAAAGGCATTCTCTTGGTAACCATTTCCCAACACAGTGATGTTGTCTCCCCTCACTGGAGATTTCAGTCTTTCCTCTACAATGGGAATCAGTGAGACAGAAAAGTATGCAAGAAACCTGCCTTGCACGTCCTACTTCAATAGATTGAAAACATTATTTTAGCTTATTCTTTCTGAAGTTCCAGTGAGGGAAAAGGACAGTGAGTCAGAAACAGTTTTCATGGAAACGTTTTTGAGTGCACTGAACACAATGCACCTCGAAGCTGCTGGGAAAGTCTATATGGAGCTGACAGGACCATCAGAGCTGTTACAGGACTAATAGTGTTCTACATTGTGCACTATTTAACTTTTTAAATCTTTCGTTACATTCATAACCAGTTAATGCTGATGGTCACTCCTGAAGAATTAACACTCAGGCTGATTCAACAAGAACAACAAGGAGCAGGTCTTGCTTTTATCTTCTGTTTTCTTAGATTATACCGGTGCTAAAGGCAGGAAGAAGCATGCAAAGCAGAAGCTGAGTAGAGATGGAAATACTGGTGACTTTGATACAGAGAAATAAAGGGTCTTTGTAATAAGAAAGTAGGATCACTTATCAGTCACCCCATGAAGCTCACCAAGAGAAACAGAAATGGAACCTTCAAGCCAGCGCCTTTCATGGACATCTTCCAAATGTGCCTTTCTTAATTCTGTTTAAGTCAAATGCGACTTGACATAGTCTACCTTCATTGGTGTTAAAGCCTTCCAAGTTCAATATATAAATACACACCTATCAAATGAGAAAGTGCAAACATAATAGACAAGATATCACATGAGAATGTATGCATAAGCTTTGAAGGTAGACCCGGCACTGGTTAGTAAGTGGGTGCGTGTGTCGCAGTGGCAGAAAACCACGAGGCAATCCTGTAGAGGCAATGTGCGAGTCTGCGCCCGGTGCCTTCAATGTGTGTGCCTTTCATCTGTTTTCAGTTTGTTTCTACTAATCTACAAAATTACCACAGCCGCATGGGCGGGCAAGCTTGGCTGCGTGTAGTTTTAATGGTGAAAAAGAAGAATACGCAAAATTGGTTAGACTATGAAAGCTCCAGAAGGCCCCTTGTAGAATATTATACTACGTAGAGATGGTCTACAGGTGATTAATTTATTATTATAAGTTAAGGAGTGAGACCACAGTCACCACATATAAAATGTGTATAAGAAGAGCATACACATGGAAACGATGTATGCAAAATATAATTTCTTAGTTAAAATCACAAACATACATAACAAAGGCTAAATCTATCACACTTTTAATAGAAAATTGGAAGTGGGGAGATTATACAACTATTGTTCCTATCTTCAATATTTATTTTATATTCTCAAGTATATACCTCTTACATTTTTTAGAGTTTAAAAACTCAGTGAAGACTAGAACATAGAGGGTCAAAGGACAATAAGCAGTGTAATTATATTTTGCTATTATTCTCAGGATTGCATATATCTGCTTAGTTCAGCAAAACACTGATAGTAATTGAGCCTAATCACTGCTTCTTTTTTTTTTTTCTTTTCAAAGTCTTACTTTAGAAGAGGTTTTAGGATGGGCCCAATCTTTGGACAGTCTGATGGCTACAAAATGTGAGTATGATGTATATGTCATCTTTGAAGAAGAGGCCTGTTTCATTCGTATGGGGGGGGGGGGGCACGTGTGCCAGATGACAAGTGTAAGCGGCTCTGCTTGCCGCCTCCTAAGTGGCAACTGACATAGTTAAAAAAGGAAAACCTGAAAATAGTTTGTCATGCCAACCACCGTTATTTTCTTTGGTGTTAATTAAAACAAGATTGGTCACTGAGGGTATTTATTCTTCACAAGTATATGTGTAAAACCCATGGGGAATATGCTGAAATAGTAACACATACTGAAATACACTGCCTTCCCATAGCTTGCTATAGTTAGTGCTTGGGAACTATTAAAAAGTTGCTGTTCTAAGTGCTTTCAAAAGCAAGAACCAATTTGAGCCTTGATGTTCTAAAACTCCTTGGAGTTCTTCAGTCTCTGATTCCTGGGGTCCCATGTGCAATGGCACAAGCGTGAGAATTCAAATGAAACAAATGAAAGATCATAGTGATGTAGATAGATGAAAAATATAAGTTTAGAAGCTCAATACAGTTAATATGAAGGATAACGGGCACTCGGGGGAATTGTCTATTGTGTTGGGAACAGAAAATGGCAGGTGATAGAAAATGATAACCAGAAGACAAGTTTAAAACACACACACACAAAAAAAAGTAGAGGTAACTAAAGAAAATTCTACTAAGCTTAGTTCCTTTCTGGCAGGGCTATTAACATCAAATGTTGGCTAATTTTTGTCTGTGGGCTTATCCCTTTATTAGGGACTTCCTTGTGTAAGATTCTCTGTGAAGAATGGTTTTTTTCAGATGTCCTGATTAGGAACAGGAGTTAACCATGCTCCTACGATGTTTTAATTAGTGGGTGTGTAGGGTTATTATTGACTGAGTACATCCCATCATTCACGGGGATCTCTGTGTTCCTAGGACTCTACCTGCTCTCACTGCCTCAAGAACATTCTTTAGTTCTGTTATTTCTGACTCACAGAGCAATGGTGGGAGGCGTGAACCCTTGACTCTTGGCTTTTTCTATCAGAATTCCTTAGTCCTTCTAGCTCTGACTCTGAGACTCCTTCCTTGGTGTTGTACATCTGCAGACCTGGGCACCATCTAAGCATTCATTTTTAGTTGTAAGCCATCCCACTGAAAATGTACACATCATAGTTTCTTTCTTTCTTTCATTTATTTGCAAGAAGGTTTAACTATGCCTTTTACATATCATGTATTACTCATAGTTCTCTGGTGTAACTTGCCAGCATGATCATGAATTAAATTTTATATCTTTGGACTAAATTTTAGGGCACTTAAATTGAAGGAGAAGAGAAACTTGCCTGTTAAGTCGGTTATATTGAGTCTTCTCCAAACAGTTTCAATATCAGCCCTAACCCATGCTTGCAACATTGCCTGGTTAATCTCACTTTCAGAGTTACAGACAGCTCTTCCATAAAGTGGGAATATCATCTCACTATTCAACACTATTGTACTGGTTGAACACAAAAGACTCAGTTCAGTGCACTATACAGCCTGAGCAGAAAATGGTTGCCATTTACTCTTATTAGTAATAAAGTACACATCTCTGAGTACAATCATTTTTTTTCTCTCCTTCCTACCAAAAGATCAAACTCTTAATATTCAGAATCCATGATACTTTAACCCAACGCATTTTCTAAAATGTACACCTACCTGTAACAGACCCTCCCCCGGTATGCTCCATCCCCTACTTGTATATCAGTGACTCTCCTGTTACAGGCTTCTACTCAGTGTTGGTTTTTTCTCACCCAATCACACACTTAAAATTAAAACTCAAGTTCCATCTTTCCTATGAAATGATTTAGAAATATTTTTCCTCTTCTAGTTTGTTAGTACCTTATTTATTCTGCCTTTAATTGCCACCAGTTTGGGTAAGGAGTTTATTTCCAAAGTAGCTTGCTCAGTAAATTGTAAAATCCTTTGAAGAATGGATATTGCTTATTCATTTCACATCCCACTGAGAGGCTCAAAGTGTCATTTCTACCTAGTAGGCATATATCACAGTTCAATGAAAGACAAATATTAATAGGAAACTATCAACACACCAAGATATATTACATAAATGTATGTGCCAGTGCTGAGGATTTGACAAAATGAACAGAGTAAATTATCTGACATGAATATCAAGTGGGCACTGGCCTAGCTGGACTCGGCAATTTAGATAGAGATAGTGTCCTAAGGATAAGCAAAGTGTACAGAAAAGGGGGGGGGGGCGCAAGACGGCATCACATGGATCCTAAAAAGGCCAATGGAAGCATGAAATCAAATCAGCATGAAGTTCATTTAAAATTCTACAATCAAATAAAAAATAATAAAAAAATAATAAATCATTCTACAGATAGGACCAGTCAACTAGAAAAACTAAGAAAGCAAACACTACATGTTTTAGAGAATAAGTGTGTTTACACTAACAAATGACACTAGTAAAACGTGTCTGGTGAACTAAAAGATGTAAACTGCTATTGTTACAGAGATTAAAACACAGCCTCAGACCAGGCAGTAGTAGCATAAACCTTTAATCCCAGCACTCAGGAGGCAGAGGCAGGCAGATCTCTGTGAGTTCAAGACCAGCCTGGTCTACAAAGTGAGTTCCAGGACAGCCAAGGCTGTTACACAGAGAAACTTGGTCTTGAAAAACCGAGGGAATCCAGGCAGTGGTGGCACACACCTTTAATCCTAGTACTTGGGAGGCAGAGACAGGCAGATCTCTGTAGCTGCCTGGGCTACAGAATGAGTTCCAGGAAAGGTGCAAAGCTACACAGAGAAACCCTGTCTCGAAAAACCTAAAAAAGAAAAAGAAAAAGAATATATAGATCACTAAACTCACATGGGGATAAGGATATGAGAAAGTAACATAAGAAATATTTGTTGGAAATATAATAGTTATATTCAACACAATGCCATTAAATTCAAGGCTTTATAAAAAGTGGGAATTGGAAAGGACCAAGTTTGTGCAGTCATTTCTAGGAGAGACTATTTCAGAGCAGACTTCCTGATATTCTGGCTCTTACATTCTTCCTTCTTCCTCTTCTGAAATGTTCCCCGAGCCATAGGTGCAGGAGCTGTGATGTAAATGTATCTGTTGAGGCTGTGCTGACCAAAACCTATTAATATCTGTGTTGTGTCTAGTTGGGTCTCTGTCATTTGTTGTAAAGAGATGTTGCTTTGATGAGGGGTGCTAGTGGCACTTATCTGTGTGTACAAGAATAATATTTAGAATGTAGGAAATAATTATGCTGGCCTAAAAAAAATAGTGGCAATAGTTTGTCTTTGTTTTTGTTTTTGTTTTTGTTTTTAAGGTCCATGGCCTCCTTCTCCTAGGATACAGGCTAGGCATGATTTCCCTCCTATTGAGTGGGACTTAGGTCCTGCAAGAGTGCTTTTGGCTGCCACCAACATTTAAGTGCCATTACTGTACTTTAATGCATTTCTTGCCAAAATCAGAACAATTTCAGCATCAACGGACATGTTAACATGGAAGGAGGAAAATGTTGTGGGGTCCCATCCATAGACAAAGAACCATAGACCACTAATAACTAATGGAAGAAGGAGAAATAGTCTGTACCAGGGATGAGTCCCTTATTGATTTGTCCAATGAAGAATGATCAGCCTTGAACTCATTTACACACAAGCAACAAATATGGACTCAGCAGTATATGTGTGTATGTGTAGTAAATATGCATGTACATATATATGTGAATGCAATAATAATCAAAGAAAAAGCAGACTATGGAAGGGGTTCAAGGAAGGTTAGCTGAGCTGGGAGGGACTAAACAGAAAGGGAGGGTGAAAAGTTCTATTTCAATTAAAAACATATTTTTGAAAAGAGAAGAACAAGAAGGAGGGGGAAGAAGAGTAAAGGAAAAAGAAAAGGGGGAGGAGGAAGAGAAGGAAGAGGAAGAAGAAGAAAAGAGGAAAAGGACCAAGTTGAGAAGAGAACTACACAGTCGGATGGTGATTCAAAATTAGGAATGTTTGTAACCTAAATACATTCTAGATGTTACTCAGTGATAAGCTGCTGGCAAACAAGTTTTCAAAACATAGATGATACTTTTAAAAACTAATGTGTATATATTCACTTACCGAGTACATACTAAGCCTGTTTTAGTTATCAGGTAGCATACTTGGGGAAAATCCCATCAGTCTATCATACAAATAAAATTGCACAGAAAAAAATGTTTTGCAAAATCTGAAAGTCCTTTAAAAAAGAATGAAAGGAATCACCATTCATGATAAACTTTGGAAAGATAGAAAGTAGTTATCAAACCAACTTTTATAAGCACCAGGAATGGAATTCCAAAGGCAACAAAAATACTTTTTAAAAATAATATCTCTTGACAAAAAATAATTCTCAAGGCCACATAAAGGGCTGACTGGCAGTAGTTTGAATACAGGAAATTATTTAAGAGTAAGCCTGGTATAGATAAATGGATGTCTTTCAAATGAAGCAATATTGTGTGTTGATTCCTTGATGTTTGATGTGAAAGTCAGTGTCATTTAAAAACCATCCACAATGAATGAAGCAGGAAATACTCTACAGATGTTAAAAGTCTACAGATGACTGAAATTTTTTCATCTTTCAAACATCTAAGTTTTTAGAAAATGTTTTTTCAAAAGTAACAAGAATATAAAGATGTAAGGAAAATTTTTTTCATCTATCCAAGAAAATATATGAGACTTATCTAAGATTTTCCTTCAAATGATAGGAACCCAGACTTTGCCACTGAATCCAAAATTGCTATCACAGCATCAGGCTTCACTCACATGAAAAGGGAAAAGTGTAGTTGTGTGGGTGTTTCTGGTTACTAAACACTAAATGAGATGAATAAATGCAAAGAAAGATACAGAAAGGAACATCTGAAATCATAGAAGACCAAAATCACTTAAAATCCCAGAACTCTTCAAACTAGAAAGGTCAAATTTTTTAAAATAATGAGAATATATAATGCCAGAAAATACAGAAGACACATAAATACATTAGATACATTTACCAATTTTCTTTTTATCTTTTTAGTAATGGATTCCTTTTTATTATTTCTTTTATTTTTTATATTATAATATAGTTACATCATTTCCCCTTTCCCTTTACTTCCTCCAAACCATATACCTCCCCCTTTATTTCTTTCAAATTCATGGTGTTTTTTCATTAACTATTGCTATATACACACATGCATATATATTCCTAAATGCATAAATGCAAGCTGTTCAATTTGTACAATGCTACGCGCGCGTGTGTGTGTGTGTGTGTGTGTGTGTGTGTGTGTGTATGTGTGTGTGTGTGTGTGTGTGTGTGTGTGTGTGTGTGTGTGTGTGTGTGTTTCCAGGGCTGACCATTTGGTATTTGTTACTTTGCTATTCCCTAGGAAGGCTATTTGTCTAGCTTTCAGCATTCTTTGTTGTCTGTAGTTTTTTGCCTAGAGTTGAGGCCTCACTGGGCTTTCCCCCCAATTCAGTTCAGCACATCTGTTGATGTTGTCCTTGCTCAGCTCATGTATAAACAGTCATGCTGGTGAGACTTTATGGGTGTAGCTTCTGAAATTCCTAAGAGACACAAAACCAATGCAAACTCACTGTTCCTCCGGCTATTACCATCTTTCTGACACCTCTTCCGAAGTGATATCTGACACTTAGGCGGGGGAATTGTACAGTAGATGTATCCGCTGGGACTGGGCTCCAGAACTCAGTATTTTGAATGGTTGTGGTTTTCTGCAGTGGTCTCTGTCTGCTGCAAAGAAAAGTTTCCTTGATGAGGGCTGAGGACTACATTTATCTGTAGGTATAAGCACAAATATTTAGAATGTAGATAGAAATTATGCTGGTGTAATAAATTAGCAGTTGTATTTTCTCCTCCAGGATCCATGACTTCATTAGCCCTGGGTTATTGGCTAGGTTTCCAGTACGAGGCAAGATGTCCCTCTTCTTGTGTGGGTCCTAAATCCAATTAGAAAGCTGTTGGTTATTGCCAAGGGTATGTGTTGCACTACTGAACCCTTAGAATTATCATGCTGCACTGATCACTGTTATGGTTCATAGGTGTCATAGCTGGGTACAACTGTTGGTTGCTTCCTTCCTTTGGAAACTTGCATGGTGCCTTCTTGTACCATGAAGCCAGTCCTCAAGGAGGTTCTGTGTCTATAGTACATGGTGTCTTCAGTAATAGGGACCTACCTCCTACCCCTGGGAGCAAACTAATTTTCAAAAAATAACAATGGGAGTTATTCACTGATATATTTTATTCAAATAAAAAGATCACTTGGATGATTCAAACAATCCTACCATGTATCTGGGGGACAACATGGGGATGGAAATGAGATGAAAGGGGTATATATGAGTTCAGCCCATGTACTCCACTTAAACAGAGGAGACAAAGAACAAGCAGACCAAATGGGCAGATAATTCCATAAAGTGGTAAGTGCTTTCAAAAAAGTAAAATCAAGTGATACAGAAAGAAGGTACAAGACTACAATAGTTCAACTGAGAATTATGGACAGAGAACAAAACTGTCAGAAGGAGTAGAATGGCCAGAATCTCTGACAGAGAATAAAACTGTCAGAAGGGATAAGATTGGAACAAAGAGATGAGTCATAAGAAGCAGACGTCTGTGCTGAGGTCTTCGGATATCCATCCAAGTAGCAGGAAAACACATCTGAAAGGTCCGATGATGTGAGATTGGTGTCTGCAAATAACTAAAATAAAATTTAATATGTCAGCTTCATAAGGCCTCATGAGGCCATGTAAATGACCTTACCTTGAACACTAACCAAAAAAATCAAGACATTCTTAAAAGATCTTGCCAGCTCTTTTCTGAAGAAAAACAAAGGGAAACTAGTTAGAAGGATAATTCAATAAACCAGCTAAGACCAGAACTCAGGAGGGCAGACATACTTGGAAATAATTAGCATCTAGATGCTCATAAAAGCTATGGGTCCAAAAGATTGCTGGAAGAGTTAAGATAAAGAAGAAAGCCAGAGAGGTGGTGCTTGGGTACATGGTGATATTCCAGAGTTCAGGAACAAGAGCCAGGGATGGCAAAAGGAACATCTAGTGAATTAATGATGAATAAAAAGAGTGTATTACCACAGAAGCCAAAGGCAACAGTTCTTTCAGAAAAAGGGCCATGAACTGTGAAGACTGGACAGAAATCAGGTCAGAGCAGGGCCCATGGGGTATGATAACACAGAAGCCCTTGACACCTCAAGAGAAGCATTTACAGTGCGTGATGGGAGCAAGGTAGGATATATAATGTAATTTATATAAAGTTTTATGTGAAAAATGAGAAGATAAAAGAATAGAGATTGAACAGTGGCTGGCTAGAAGTCTTTGTGTTTTCCTCTGTAACAGAATATGTTGTAGTCAAACTGTCAAAATTAGAAGGAAAATAGAATTCCATAAATTAAAAGAGGCTATCTCCGAAGATCAGTGGTAGGGATCTGGCATATCATACAAAAGGCTGTGCATTTAGTTCCCATGACTATTTGTGTGGGAGGGGTGTGTATGTGTGTGCATGTGTGTATATACATATGTGTGTGCATATATGTATATGTGTTAAGTATTTTTTGTGTGTAAGCAAGTAAATAAATAAACAGCTCTTTCCTAAAAGCAGCAAGTCACATAGAAATGAATTCCCACCCAACTAACAGCAGATTTGTCAATAGTTATCTTACAGACCAGGAGAAGATGGCAAAATAAACTGAAAGCTGTGAAAGAAAAATTTCAGCCAAAAATACTATACCCAGCAAAGCTATCCTTCAAAGATGAAAGAGAAGTAAAAACTTTCCTAGGTAAAACAAAAACTCAAGAAATTTGTTAGCATTTTCTCAGCTCTTTAAGAGATGTTCAAAGGAGTAGTTTCTAGTAGCAGAAGTGTGGCTACCACTATAAAAATGTGCAAAACTACAAAAACTCCACAAAATGGAGTGAAAATGTAAAGGTGAAAGAAGACTCTAACTCTATCAGGACAAAGACACCACTAAGTTCACAAAAGTGAACAAGAGAGGAAGAAACGAAAAAGATAGATAAAACCAGAAAAAAATAACAAAAGTGTCCTTTTTCATCATTAATAATACCAAGTATAAACAGATTAAATCCCCCAACTAAAGTATATAGGCTAATACAATAGAATAGTTTTTATAAAAAATAACACAAATACTCCAACAATGTATTTCCTTTAAGAAAGTTACTTTAGCATTAAAGAGATGTTACAAAGACGAAAAGTGAATGAAGGAAAAGATAAATCATGAGCATGGAAACCAGAACCAAGCAAGAATAGTTACACATGTGTGAGAAAGAACATACTTTAAATACAAAGCAATGGAAAGAAACAAAATGATCACTATATAACAATAAAGAGATAGCAAAAAGAAAAAATATAAATAGTATGTGTACCCAAAGTTGGAACAATTGAATCTATGAAGTTTTCCTTAGGGAAATAGACTCCACTGTGCTCTGCTTTTAACAATGGACAAAAATTGACAAACAAGCATTGGAACTAGACTATAATACAAACTGATGAACAGACATTTATAGGTCATTGCATCAAAGAGCTACAAAATACACATTTCTCACTATCACATAGAGCATGCTCCAGAATATTTTACATGTTGGGCTGCATAGCCAATTCTCAACAAAGCTGAAAAACTTGAAATCATTGTATTATCTTCTCTGATCATGGTGGACTAAAACTAGGCATCCATAATGTTTGGAAATTTGGAAATTGTAAAAATACTTCTTTTTTCAAAGTTCCTTATCTAATTATCTATTATATTTCACATAATTAGAATTTCCATGGAACCATAAAAGACCCAAATTGTTAAACCAACCAGGAACAGAAAACAAATAAACCAAAAGCAGAGGCATTATAACACCAGACTTCAAAACACACTTGAGAGGGATGGATAGCATCTGAACAGCAAGGTGCTGGTATGGAAACAGGTCTGGAATCTTACAGAATAGAATGGAACATTTCAGAAATAAATCAACACTTTCCAGCCAACTGATTTTTCCTAAGAAAGGCAACAAGAACACGCATTAGAGAAAGAAAATGATCTTTAACTGGTGCTTCTGAGGAGATTAAAAACAGATATCTAAATGCAGAGGAAACTTGGCCTCTCTCTCTCATATGCAAATAACAACTCAAAAGACCTGAATGTAACTACATCAAACCACTAAAAGAAAACATAGGAGAAATACTTCAAAATTTATGTATAGGCCCAAGTTTATGTATTTATGCCACACACACACAGACAAGAAAATCAAAAACTGATAAACCAGATTATATCAAACTGAAAGGCTTCAATACAGCCAAGGGAACAGTCAAGAAAGAAAGAATACATCCTAAAGGATGGATAAAACACAAACTATTCATTAAAAGAGGGATTGATTTCCAGCATATATAAGAAAACAATTCAACAGTAAAAATAATAACAACAACAATCCAATTTAAAATGGATAAATGACTTGTAAGGACATTTCCCAAAAGAGAATGTACAAATGGTTGGTAACAGTATGAAAAAAGGCTCCCTGTCACTGAGTCTCAAAAAAAAAAAATGCAAATCAAACCACATGGGCTATTACCATAGATCTATCAGAAGTTCTTTTATGTTACAGGATTGTCTCAGCTATCCTGGTTTTTTTGATTTTCCATATTAATGTGAGTATTGTTCTTTCAAGGTCTGTAAAAATCTTCTAATGTAACACATTATGATAACTATGTTTGAAGACCAGTAATTGAGTATTTCAAAATAGGTAGGAGAAAACATTTTTGAACACTCCCAAATAATACATGTCTGAAGTGATAAATATGTTTACTCTAATTTAATCATTACACACAGTACACATAGGCTGAATATCACATGTGTACAACATACTAAGTACTGTCCTATGTGTCAGTTAAAAATAAAAATAGACTTTAAAGAAAAACAGAAAGGAGGCTTTATAAAAATAACTCAGTCAGTAAAATGCTCCTTTTTCAAGTATGAGGACCTGAGTTCAGTCCCAAGAGCCTATATTTTTTTTATTTAAGAAATTTTTTTTAATTCACTTTACATACCAAACAGAGATCCCTCTCATCCCTCCTCCCACTCACCTCAGCCTCCCCCCCCCCCCCCCCCCGCCCGCCCACCCATCCCCATCTCCTCTTACAAAAGGGTAAGGCCTCCCATGGGGAGTCAGCAAAGCCTGGCACATTCAGTTGAGGCAGGAACAAAGCCCCTCTCCCCTGCATTGGGGCTGAGTAAGGTGTCCCACCCTCTGTAGGTAATGGGTTCCAAAAAGCCAGCTCATGCACCAGGGGCTTGATCCCACTGCCAGGGGCTCTCAAACAGACCAAGCTACACAACTGTCTCCTGTATGCAAAGGGTCCAGTCAGATCCCACGCACAGAGCCTACATTTTTAAAAAAGAAAAACACCTTGGCATAGTTGTGCATACTTACACTCCCAGTACAGGAAAGGCAGATACAGGTAAACTGCTGTAACCTGTGGGCCACACACCTGCTTAGCCAGTTCCAGACCATTGAAAGACACACACGTACACACACACACACACACACACACACACACACACACACACACACGAATATGGAGAGAGAGAGAGAGAATAACAGAGATGGGAAGGAGACATGTGGTCAGTAGCAGGAAGGAGTGTGGGGTCAAGAATTGTTTTAGTTGCATTTGGGAAACACAGCAACATGCTTATCTGGTGAGGACAGCTAACAATGAGGATGCCATGGCAGAGAGGAGAGGGGAATAACATG